GGGCGCCGGAGCCGCCGCGGGCCGCGCATGCGTGCCTCGTGCGCGAGCTGGCGCGCCCTCGGGGCCACGGAGTCCTTCGTTTCACCCCCAAAATCACACTTCCCAGCACGTTTCCCCTGGGTCACACCATTTGAAACGAAACCCTACGCCGTTCCTGCCTCTCACCCTTTTCCTGCCCTTAGTTGTGGTGCTTTTCAGTCTTTAGTTTACATGTGGTGTCTGTCGCCCACGAGCGAGATTTTTGTCCCATTTGTTGGTGCTGAACCTGCTGAGCATCAGTATCCGTTGGGTAGTCAGTGACCCAACCCACCGGCCTTAAGAAGGGGAAGGGCGCGTAGGGAGAAGGGATGCGAGCCTGCCTAGGGGAGTGGATTGCGGGCCTGAACCCAGACCCCACTTACTAGCCGGTGACACCCGGCCACTTCACCTCGCTGTGCCCGTTTCCCCACTTGGGAGTGGGTGACAACACTTCCCTGTGATCGGGCGAGGGACGGGGAGGAGATCGGCGGAGACAGGAACCCCGCACACACAGTGCTTCCGGCCTATCCCTCTGGGTTAATTTCCAGCCCAAGGCCCTTCTGGAGGGGTGCAGGGAACCAGCGCTATCTGCAGACCACCCTCAGCGCACTGGGACCAGGCTGAGTCGGGAGGGAGTAAGTAGTTCCGGGGCTGGGCATCCGTCTCCTGGCAGGGTGAAAGCCAGCTCACTGCTGAACCCTCTCTGTTCAACTCACTGTACATAGCCAGCTGGAGATGAAATGTTAAGGCTGTTTGTTCATCATCCCACCCCACCCCCATCTTCCAGACAGCAGCCTGTCTGATTAAAGCACACCGAAAAGACTCTATTCCTCTACTGGCATTTGGTGGTGACAGGTGGCCCGAATTCTGGTCTTCCCATTACACTTGTAAAGTGTTTAAAAATTACATGCTTGGAGCATTCTAAAAGCTCAGTTCTTATCCTATTACCACAAAGAAATGTCACATTACAAGTCAAGTTCAAATGGTGCAGCCTCTATGGTGAACATACCAAGCTTCCTTAACAAACTGGCAAAACCACATGATTCGGCCACAATGGATAAATCAGGACAGGCTTCACGCCTATGCATTTATCTGAAAAACATGCAAAACACTAATTCAAAAGAACAGTTGCACCGCTGATGTTCAGAGCAGCACTATTCACAATAGCCAGTTCACGGAATCAACCTACATGCCCACTGACGGATGACTGACCAAAGTGGTGGTGTTTATATATATTCAGTGCGGTACCACTCAGTTATTTTAAAAGGACATAATTATGCTAAGTAAAATAAGTCAGAAAGTAAAAGACAATCACTGACTGTGCAATATAAATAACCGAAGAACACAAACGGGCAAAACACAACAAAAATAATTCTTAGATTCTGAAAAATATGGCGGTTGCCAGAGAGGGCGGGCAAAGCGGATGGGAAGACAGGGTAGAGGGGCCATCCAATGGAGTGGTATCCCTAGGAACTTGGGGCTTGTAAAGAACAGGTGCGAAGCTGTACTCCTGTGATATTTATACCACCAACCGATGGTAAATAAACTTTATTTTTTAAAAAGCCAAGTTCACACTGTCTCACACGATTTCTTCAACCTCAGATGGAAATACTGTCTCTTGTTCCCACAACTGATTTCTCATTCAGGCCTCTGGCCAAATGGCACCTTGTAGGAGCAGCCTTCCTTGAAGAGCCCAAAGTCGCCCCTCAGTCACTTTCCCTCCTTCCCAGTTCTCATCAGAGGCCTGTTTATGGTCAGTCTTAGGGCCCAGCAAGTCATGTCCACAGTGCTTCCCTTTCTTCCTAGCATCTGCTACTCATGAATTTACATGAAAAATCACGTCAGGTCTCCTAAAAAACAGAGAAATACTGGGCCTCCCTGGTGGCGCAATGGGTTAAAGCACAGCACAATAGAGCTATCCTCAGCCACTGTAGCACAGGTTCGATCCCTGGCCAGGGAGGTGACCCACCCTGGCACAGCAGACCCCTCCTGTCTCACCCGCTGTGCCCCTCCGCAGTGTATTTTAGTAGATCTACCTGTTCTGCTCCCCACTGTCTCTGGTGGGATACCAGTTCTTGTATACATAAAATAAAGAAAAAAATAAAAATCTTTAAAAAATAAGATCAGTGCCTACATTTTGACACTTGAGAGAATTACTCATTCAAATACTTTCCCTGCTGAGCACTTCAAATTCTCACTGGAAGACAAGAGTGTAAGGAAAGGCCAGTGCTTTTCTCTGTATCTACATCTATACACACACAAAGGGGTCTTCCAACATAAAGTTCCTTTTAACTTTTTAATAATACAAATAATACCTTTTCAATGTAGGAAAGCTAGAAGATACAAATAAAGTATGGTCTTATCTGAATTCTTCCAGGTTTTTGTCTTTGGAGACACGTATATATGTTGTTACGGTTACTCCTGTCCCTCAGGCCTTTCAAAAAACAGAAATCAAACAGCAAAAATAAGGTTACACCAGTCTTACCTGATCACAGGTGCTCGTTTATATTATGTACAAAATAATGAACAATTATTGCAATTTCAACTTGAAACATCTAAATTGATGTTAACATAATCCGAGTCCATCACAGCAGCAGTTTCAGAAAAACTCAGCACTTGATTCAGGCATGCTGCCAATAAATAGCCAAGTATGATTTTTGTTTATAAAATAAGCAGCTTCCGAGTATTGTGTACGTCAAAGAGAAGAGTGTTCTGACGACTCAGTCACAGGTCTCTACCCAGACACAATTCCTTTTCAATACACTCTTCAATCATTCTGATGCTCTTGAAAGTACTCATCAAACATGGAAGATGATTCATCTTCATGTTCCTGAAGTAAAAGAAACACAAAATAGAAAACACACTCCTTTCCCCTCATTAGACCTCAGATGAGTTTACCTGTCTTTGGGCAATGTCCTTTCAGGTTCCAGGCTGTAGTTCCAGGTGTTGCTCACAGGAAATGGGTAACAGTGATAAGACATGATGGACAGAACGTTCCAGATAGAAGCACTTCAATTTACCACCCCGCTCCTTAGAAGTTTTTCTTACTTGAACTGACATGCCAACCCCAATCAGCTAACCTGTCATGACTGTCCCCTAATGACAGAGTGGGCAATGTACAGTCAATCAGATTTGACCTCCTCTTTGCATATATCCCTGAGTTCTAAGTACCAAGAATCTTAACTCAATCATCCTGCCCCTGTGAAAGGCAGCACCCACTTGATGCCAGTTGGGGAGCACAGAATACACTCAGGGGTCACCTAGGAAAGTCCAGGTTACTGTGAATGGGAAGAAGTTAGTTAAAAGAGCTGCTGGGATAATTAATGCAGGGGGGCCAGAGAAGACTGGCAAACAAACAAAAATCAAAAATTACCTTAGGTTCTTTGAATTCCAAGTCTTCCCCATACTGAATGGTGAAATCAATGTGCTGTAGCACAATGTTCATGCTTTCTTCATCCGACTGGTCATAAGGTAAAAACCGAACCATGCTGTAGTCGTCAACCTACGAGTTGAGAGTTTCAGACAGATTCATTCTCAAAGTGTACAAAACCCCCATTTTCAATTTAGAACTGAGTTTGTTATGACTGACGTTTCTGACTAAAGCCATTTGGGAAGGAGGGACAAGGGACAATGGCCCCTTATGGTAGATTCTTCCACTGGAACCTACTCTAACGCTGGCTAACTTACTACTTAACTAGACACTATTTCATAGTTGTTTATGTGAATGTAAGACCACTGGCAATCTCAAAAGGTCGCAGGCAACTCTGAACTCCCAGAACGGTTAGATTAACAGATAAGTCATTTAATCTATGAGCTGCCACTATCAACTACTTTTCATGAAAACAACTGACTGCTAAAGCTCAGTTTCTCACTGCTTCTTGGTAAGAAAATCAGAATAGATGGTGCTTTCCACAAGAGGGGAGGGGAGATGGCTGTAGATAAACACCTGCCCAGGTCACTAAAAAAAACAAAAAATCGGGACCTCCCTGGTGGTGCAAGAATCATGTAAACAGCTTACCAGTCCACAAATGGCTTGAGTCAACTTTTTGAATTTTTTGCTTCTGAAGTCACTTGTAGAATCATCTAGTAAAGAATACATGTCTGGATCTAAAAACCTTTAAAAAGAAGAGAGTTGGGCGAATAAATCCAGAATCAATCTACACACTGACAGAACCTCCTGTCTAAATAAAATTTGGAAGGTTTAATTCTGCAGTTCAGAGCTATGGTAACAGAACACGTGAACTCACTTCTCAATTTCTTTTTTAGCTTTCTTGCTCAGCAGATCCATTTTTGTCATAATGTTCACTTGTGGGATCTCTAGAGATATCATCGCACTCAGGGCTGCCAAGATGCCAGAAATAAACTGGAGAAGGAAACAGAAAAGAGAAGGTGAATCCACTGTTGCTTGCAAAGTTTCTTTGTCTCTGCCTAAAAGGCTTCTGCTCCTCCCTGGAACAAAACTGGCCCAAGTGAAGGAAATGCTAACATTAAAGAAAGACAGTGCAATAATCAGATGGTCAATTCTTGTTTTCCGAAGGTGAGGACAAGGAGAGATGTAGTTAATCTGCAGTGATCAGAAATCTCAATGCAGACAGTATGCTTAACCTCCTTTTCTAGCAAATATTCCTCAAGAGTTACTAAAGAAATAGACTGTTTTAGATAGCCCATCAACTAGACAGAGGTCTTCTATAAAATAGAACTGCCTTACTTTTTTTTGAAAGTTGTTCCTCCAAAATCTGTGTAATTTACCACTTTTTAATTCAGTCAATTTTCTACTTTTAAGTAAAAATACTTTATCATAATAAGGGCCACTAAGTAACTCTGACGTAGTTTGTAAAGTGTCCAAAATTACAAAGACAATTAAAGGAGACTGTCATCCACTGTGCTCACAGTGAAAACAATCAACAACAGACTTAGCCTCCAACCTTGAACGACTCCACCATGAACTGAGAATCAACCAGAAAAACGCCACAGACGCGGAACTCCCACTGTTCCAGCTGCTGCACCAGCTGTTTCATGACCGGCAGGTGAGTGTACAGTTCAATCTGACCTACAAGAACAACATTACAGGCCTGTTAGAAACAGGAGATAAGTGAAAGCATCAATTACAGAAAAAGTCCTTTCCAGGAGGGAAGTTAAAGAAGCTGTCGTTCTCAGGTACCCCGAGTTCACTACACTCAGTTTGCACAGAGCCTTACTCCCTCTCAAAGCAGTCACAAAACCCAAGGTCCTCGCCCCAGGAATCCCCAGGAACCGATTCTGTTTGTTGTAAATAACCAGAACTGTGCCACCCAAAGCAAGTGCCATCTAGACGTGCAGCTGGGGCACGCACCGAGCTGGGCACACACCGAGCTGGGCACACACCGAGCTGGGCACACACCGAGCTGGGCACACACCGAGCTGGGCACGCACCGAGCTGGGCACTCAGGCCTGAGGCGCTTTTGTAAGACCAGACGTGCTCAGTGAAAAGCAAAGAGAAAAGGTGGGAACCCCAATGTTTGAGAGGCTCCAGTCTACTTTTCTTCTCAAAGAGCACATGGATTTATTACAGACGGGAACAGAGCAGGAGAAAACATGCCCGTGTAGAACGACGTTTTCAGTGACGTGGTGGACGCTACAGATCTCAATACAGCATAAACACGTGCCATCTCCATGTGATTCTCACAGGCCCACTTCGTTCTTCACAGGGTGTCTTCTTGGAATTATACCCGATTTTATGACCAGTTTTTATCCCAATCCACTGGGGAAGGGGACACTTCTGTTTTGTCTGGCTAGGAATCAGGTGATCCTAAAAGTCTTGCGAACAGACGCAAGGTCAGCCCAGCGGCAGGAGGAAGGTGTGAGAGGCTCAAGTCGAAAACTCGCAGTTTGCCTTAAGAAGCAGACCTAGTCAGTCTCACCTCGCTACAGACCCCCTGGGTTACTTGGCTTTCCTGACTCCCACCTCAAGGCCTCTGGCATGCCGTGACCTCGGCTGAACGTTTTCCGTTACCTTCACCCTATGGCCCAGCTTTGAGGCCTCATGATCAGAAGTGTCCCCTCACCACCCTGCATGTGACGGGCTGTGCTGCGCCTACAGAACACCCGCCACATGTGAATATCAAGTAACTGCGTGGGTGATTTCTGTTTGCACTGTCTAGCACTCCCACTTGACTGGGAGCTCCAAAATTCAAAGTGCGCAACGGCAGGGCTCTCCGTGGCGTCCCCACTGGCCAGGTCAGCAGTTCACAACGCAATGCGTGAATTAGCGCCACCCAGAGTCTCGGACCCCACTTCAGTAGGCTCAGAGCTGCACGTGCTCTCACTGGGAGCACGACTTCAAGTAAATGGACACACTCAAACTGCTGGTTTACCTGGACAGTCAAAAAGGATGTAATCATCCTCTACATGGCCAAGGCAGTTTTCTAGCCAGTCAAAATTATTGGCAAAGTACTCCATGCAAAATACCAGTCCTCCATTGGGGCCAAACCGCAGAGAATCATCCTCCATCACGTCATCCACCTCAATCAGTTCCCGGATATCTGAAAACAATACAGTCCCACAACATAAATGCATCCATTCAAATACTCTTATCCTCACCAGTAATCATTAACAATTATATATGAACAATTCACATGCATGATACTATCTCTGTACAGGGTTATTCAAATTAGCAGTATCCATGGGAACGAATTCAACCATCACACAGCTAGGCAATGGACTCCGAAGCTGACATAAAAAAGGAGGATTCACTAGGTACTGATATAATACAGTCTCCCAGGTATACTGTCAAATGTAAGTGACAGAACTCTGTAAAGACTGTTATAATTTATATTTAAAAAAAAAAAAGATTCACCACATATACATAGAAATCCACAAATATGACTCTGTGTGCAAAGTCTCTATGGAAAGACACCCCAGAAATGGGCAACACTGGCTGCTTCCAGGGAGAAGAGTCGATCTCCTGCCACAGAGCTGGGAGGAAGACATTTTCCTGCACACTAATGCTTCTGTACTTTTGTATTTTGAACCATGTGAATATACATTATTCTAAAGCAAATTAAATCAACCCAAACTAAGAAAAACAATACCTATTTCTAAGTGGGAAAACCCTAGGGAAACTACTTAGCTCTCTGCGCCAACTGGGGAGGTAGGGAAGTCACATAGCGTGGAGGAGAGGGATGAGGACTACATGAGAACACAGCTGAATCACCGAGAGTGGAGGCTGAAGACATTACCGGTATTTATAATGTCAACTTAGGTTTTTATCTTTGCGTTCAAAACTACATCTCTGTTCACAAAGAACTGTGCCTCGTCCATTCACTGTCATGTTCATACACGTAACATCTTCCTACACCTTTTCCCAAGGTGTAGGTCAATAAAATGGATATTCTGTGACTCAAGGGTACTAATCAGTCAGTAAAACATTTAGACCAGAAGTGATATAAACACAGGTGAGGGTAGGGGTGTATGTCGTTTGCATCCAGAAGCAGAGAAAGTCGGTCTACAAGAGAGAGAGACACAGAAAGAAAGCCAGCCTCTATTCCTGTTAGTTTTCGTGTTTGGAGTTCTAGTCTCTCATAAAGCCTTGCCCTTAGGACCTCCCTGGTGGCACATGGGTTAAAGTCTCAGTGCTATCAAGCTACTGCCAGCCGCCATGGCATAAGTTCGATCCCCAGCCAGGGAGCCGACCCACATGGTGCAGCAGACCTCTTCTGTCTCCCTACTGCTCCCCTTAGCTGTGTATTTCAGTAGATCTGCCTGTTCTGTTCCCCACTCTGTCTCAGATGAATCCTCTTACCCCTCCCACCTCTGGCCTACACCCCAGTTCTTCTATGCAAAAATAAATAAAATCACACTGTTCACCATGAAACAGTCTGCTTTTCAGCTTTTGTGCTGCACAGTCAGCGCTCACTGCCTACCCACCGCCTCGTTTTTCCTGAAGGAGAGAGAAGGTTCTGCTCAGTACTTACCAGCCATCACAGGATAGTTGAAATGCTCTGCTGCTGGATCCAGATTGACCACCTGGACAGAGCGGTTGAGGGCCTCACAGTGTTGGACCATGGTGGCGCAATAGGTGCTCTGCAGTGTGACAAGGCAGGAGGGGTCAGAGCAACACGGGACTCTTAGCACACAGTATTTTAAATGACAAGTCACCCACCTATCTTCTCAAATAGTCCATAAGCTCTGGGTAGACAGAAGCTATGTCACATGGGTATTTCCTGCACCCAGAACAGGTCAAGCCTTGGAACAATGATTGGTGACTTACGGTCTGAGGCCACACATCTCTAAAGAAACCTAGTGTTCCCCGCACTTCCATTACTTGACCAATATCGTCACCATTCCTACCATAATTGCATGCTGCAAACATTATTCCCTAAATTTACAAGCAGGAATGACTGGCTCCTCAGGGCGGGTGGCTGTGCCAAGTGACTCCAGGAGCAGGGACAGGGACAAGCCACAGTAATGAGAGAAATAAAAGAAAAAAATACATATTGACAAGAAAAAAAACTGCCATCTCTATAAATACCAGATATATATATATATATATGGAAATGACAACAACAACACAAAAAAACAAAAGAAGTAAATTAGTACTACATCAAACTAAAAAGCTTCTACACAGA